TTAACCCTTCGTGGCATAGTAATTACGCGGCGAAACCGCTCTTTCAAATCAAGGTTTTAGGTTCCATGTGTGTCGTTTCGCTTTACGAAATTACCGCGACATAATGCCGACGTTTTGCTTTGCCCGCTCAGATGCCTATTCGCCTGATGTCGAAATCTTCCTAAGCTTGTTTAAATTTTAATCAGTTAACAAGTTTTTGTAGTTTATGTAAAAGTTGCAATGCTTTTGAAAAATAATGAAAATAATTGTTTAAAAATGTATTTATTTATAAACGATATATAAAATTATTGATCAATATTTTTTATGTGGATCTTTCTATTTTTAAAAAATAAGGAATTATAAAATAATTTAAAAAAAAGAGAGAGAAAATCACATTTTATTAGAATCATTGTCAACCATAGATTACTTTTTCCAACATGGAATTATTATCTCACTTGCTTGGGAATATCTTATTATCTGGATTGAAAGACGCCATTCTATCATGAAGACATTATGAGTAATTCTCGAAGACGTGGTATAATCTCGATTATACGTGCGAGGTCACGCGACTCATGGAATGATTTCCTGTCATGCTTTCAAGGCCGATCATGGCAGATCGCTTTAGACTTTTTAGATCAGTTGCCATTATATATTTCTCCAATGGTAATAATCTGCGGGCTAATTAATGAATGAATGGTTCAGGTTATTAAATCGAACTGCGGATGGAGTCATAATTTTCCCACACAATAATTATCTTTTATTAATTAATGGTTACTACAAGCAATCAAATGGAACTGAAAGATAGTTTTTTTAGGAAAAAAGAACTGTATAACTTTCTTATGTATCTGAGAAGCAAAAGAAACAAATCTAAAAACTCGTTTTTGCAGAAATTTGCAAAGATGTATGATTATAAGTAACTCTCTAAAATAAATTAAATAAGTGTGGATATATTTTGTATTTATTTAAACAGTTTATAATTAAAAAAAAATAGAAATTGTTTATATAAAATCGTAGTAACTTTTAATTTGATTTACTTTTTTCGTTATCTGATAATTTTTTGATTTAATAATTTTTGCTTCTCAGCTACAGGTATGTTTAAGATATGTTGATTAAATCACGGAAGGAGAAATACTCTCGCACACTCTAATCGCGTGATGAGCATTCTCGGATTAAAAGAAAAGGAAGAGAGCATCTTTCTTCGCTGCGGAGTCTCCCGGGGGCGTTTCGTTAATTTTAACTCCGTGCGAGGCTGACATCTTCAGAGTGAAAGCCTCCGGTTATTATGTTCCGATCCGAAACGCGCTCTCGAGAGAGAATCGCTTTTCTCACGAAGCGGAACATAATTCCGCGCTTCTGTGCATGCGTGCGAACAGTTTAATTAGCAATTTCCGCGTCGACGACAAATGCAAATTTTCTAACAATTAGTGATAATTCTTAAATTGGTAGACAATAAATATTCAAGTGTCAACTATTGTGCGACTGCCACTTTTTTCTTACACATCTTTATAATTCATGGAAGATTCAAATATTTCTGAAAAATTATTTTATCAATGACCATAAATTGTTTTTAAACATTGTCATATATGATGAAAAATATTACATCTGCTTCGTCAGATTTAGCAGATTCTTCATGCGTGATTGGATCGCTATTTGTCCCAAATGTCCCACGAAGCTTTTTCTTTCCGATTCTCAGACGATGAATAATTTTCACTTAGCGGGTGACTCGGCGCTTGTTCCACTTGGGTCAATTCCGGACAATGAAATTTCTTCCTTTTCTCCACTTTTTTTCTCTCATTTTAATTACTTTCCCCATTATATATCGTGTCGTGATCGACCGCAAATACACGCGCGCGAAGGTGTGTTTTTTTCACATATGATTAACGCCTGTGTAAATTTCAGCTGATTGTATACTACATTTTATCTCACATTGTCAGCGAAGTTTCAGCTATCTTTCACATCTCGTCTTAGCGTTTTACAGTTTCCATATGGATAAGTATATAAATTACTAGTTTTTCAATTAATGCATTGAAGCAGGCTGCTTAAGAAGCCGTCTTCTCATGGCAGTAATTTATTTATTAATAAATTCATGTAAAAAATATCAAATCACACTGGCCTTGATCATGACTTTCACATGAAATACCGGTTCTGAAAGTAGCATTAAATGACTTTTAAGCAATAAATTTCTTTGTTAGAAAATTATATTGTTAAAACATCAGATGTATTACATATTCTTAATATCGTCATATTATACAATGTATTACGAATAGTTTTTTATTTAAATACTCATAGGAATGATATCTCTCTCACATAATTTGAGAATCATCAAATTTCATACTGCTATCTTAATACATATAAGCAATGTAGAAATTAATATTTACAAATTAATTTAATTTTACAATTATGGATAGTTTTAAAGACAAATTTTCACAAAATTTTAGATCGAAAAATAAGTAATTATCTAATTAGATACGACAACAACTTAACTCAAAACAGTGTTGCCATATATAGCGCTAAATCGAGTCGTGAGTGTTGTTGAAGTATCTGCAGCTGTAATTAGGAACCAGTTTCACGAGGAATCTTTGGCGATTGATGGCGGAAGCAAGAAAACCTGCGTGAAAAACCGGTCGATGGTTTCTGTGTAGCAGTGCATCGATGCGCTAGCAATGTGAGTGAGCCCTCAGCTCGGGTCTGGGTCACTCGGTTACAAAACCTCCAAGCCGAAATAACGGTACATGTACTCATGACGTTGCTTCGGATCAGGATTAACCGCTGTCGGAGCGTGTGTGTCATGGTACAGTTTCTCGCGCATTATTGGCGATCGATTGGCGTCCTGTCACTTGAACGGTATATTGAAAAGAGCACTTATATGTCGTCCCGAATATTCTGCACAATCTTTCAATAATATTGAGCACAAATTGTTTGGTTCGAAGTTTAATTTCCAAGTTATTTAAGTTCAAGAATTGATAATTTTCCAGTGAACTTCTATTCAGAAAATCTGACTTAAAATTTACTAAACAACGGATGGAAAGTTTGTTTATCGTATCTGTTAACATTTTTATTATTTCCACTAATAATTCTTAATAATTTAAATTTGTATTATTTCAATTTGCGACGAATGTAATTTTATTTTAAATTACGTAACATGATTTAACGCTTACTATTTCTGATCACTAGCGGTTCGAGTCATATATGCGATGCCTGTCGCCTATCGAGTGTTTTATTCTTAACATTGGCTTTGTGTTACTTGAAATTCCGTTACGTGTCCTTTATCCATTCGTATTTCGTTTACATAAGAACGTGCAAATGCATGAAGGAATTTGAATTCCGAATCGAGATTCGTAATTTTCAGGCTCCAATCCACACTCTTTGAAAGTCATTGACACAAGCATCTTCCATCATTCGATCATTAAAAACACTTTTACGCGCGAATAAAAAAATAACTTTCTTTTGATCGAAATCGAAATCTATAGAGTTGGAAAGTAGAATAATAAAATTTTATTATTTATGC